TCATAAAGCTTAATAAGGTTCACATCTTTGGACTCCATAATTCTGATTCTGGGAACCTAACCTAAGAAAAGGGCCCAAACCATAGGAGAGCTTTTGCACAATGGTGTTCGTCAAAACACTATCTGTAAGGACAAAAGCTGTCAAAACTGCAATATCTAATAAGGGCACAATTTAAAAATTCAGGTACAAATACATAAAAGAATACTATGCAGCAAGTTTAAAACGATTTATAAAGAAAATATTAGGGCGCCTGGATGGCTTAGTTGGCTGAGTGTCCAACCCTTGATTTCAGCTTGGGCCGTGATCTCAGGGTTGTGAAGTTGAGCCCCAAGGCAGGTTCCGTGCTCAGCGGGAGCCGGGAGAGGATTCTCTTTGGGATTCTCTTCCTCTCCCTCTGCCCCTCCCCCCACTTCTGCATGCTCCATGAATGAATGAATGAATAAAATCTTTTTTTTTAAATGCTCATAATATAATGTTAAAAGGGAGTGATCAGGTGATAAAATGGAACACATATTATGAACAGTTCTACAGGAAGAAATTTATGCAGGAAAGGAAAGATTGAAAGGACATAAGCCAGATGTTAACAATGGAAAGCTTCATATGGTAAGACTGTATACATGGGTAATTACTTTTCTAATTGCAGTTTTTCTTTGCTTTCCAGATTTGTGTATAATGAACAGGTAGTACTTGTAAAAGAGAAAATTAAGGGTTTTTTTGTTATAAAATAGTATCTAAATGATTAAAATAATTTCTAAATTATATGTGCTTAGGGGCACCTGGGTGGCTCAGTTGGCTGAGCGTCTGCCTTCAGCTCAGGTCGTGATCCCAGAGTCCTGAGACTGAGCCCCGCATCGGGCCCCCAGCTCAGCAAAGAGCCTATTTCTCCCTCTACCTCTGACACTCCCTCTGCTTGTGCGCTCTCTCTCTCTATCCCCATTAAATAAATAAAATCTTTAAAACACACACACACACACACACACACACAAATTCTGTGTGCTGAGAAAATTTAAAACAATATATAAATTCCTGTATGCAGGAAAGAAAATCAAAATTAGAAGGATGGATTTGTAATATGTATCCATGTGTGCACACCTACATTCACACATGAAATAAGACGTAAGAGGGGACTTGGAAAAACATAGGCAAATGAGCACTGGCATGGTAAGGAAGTGGCTTCCAAGCTCCCCCAAGTCATCACAATAATTGCACATACTCCAAAACAAGCAGTGGGTTTGCCATGCAAACACAGCTTCGCACTGTCTCCCAGGCTTCCCTCCCAAGCCAGACTGCAGCCCCTAAGCCCTTCTTTAATAGGAATCCTGAGCCCCCTAGGTCACAGAGGCTAATACCATCAGCAAGAGTATTTAAACATAAAACATAAACTGACAAATCTTTTTAAATGGAGGTATGGTTAACTATATAGTGACTTTTGTCATGCTCTAAAACGAGATTCAAAGCCAAAGAAAAATGCCTTAACCCCTTCACCGTTCTAAATATCTAAGGCAAGACTCTTTTCCACTGGCCTAGAGAATCCACAAAATCAGTGCATCTTTGATTCCAGAAACTAAGACATGAGCACCTTTAGTTGTCCTGGGATAAGAAAAGACCAAAGTTGAGCTCCTGCATGGCTCAGTGGGTTAAAAGTGTCTGCCCTTCAGCTCAGGTCATGATCCCAGGGTCCTGGGATTGAGTCCTGCACCGGGCTCTCTGCTTCTCCCTCTGCCCCTTCCCCCACATGTTCTCACTCACTCTCCCTCTCGCTTTCATAAATAAATAAATAAATAAATAAATAAACAGGTGATAAGAAAAGATTAAATTCAAGAAGCATTTAAGAACAGCAAACCAACTAAAGGGGTAGGCACCAGCCTCCTACTTACCTCCTACTCACCTCCCCAGCTTTACCCTACTCCTTGGGCAGGGACAGAGGATCATCCCTTTCATTCTACATCCTAAATAACTTTGACCAGCTGTGCGGGGAAAGGAAGATGAGAAGCACAGGCAAAGAATAAACAATGATGAGCCTAGTCCACAGGGACCCACTAAAAGTACATACCTCTCCTTTATTCTACCACTGGTTATTTCCCTAGAGACTGGAAGACTAAAGCCATTATCCTACAGGTACATGTGGGCCCGGCTCCTACAACAACTATTCAGTAATTGACAGCTTACTTAAGAACACATGGATTCAGGGCCCCTGGATGGCTTAGTCAGTTCAGCACCCAACTGTCGGTTTCAGCTCGGGTCACGATTTCGCTGTTGTGGGATGGAGTCCCACGCTGGGCTCTGGGCTCAGCCTGGAGTCACTTCAGATTCTCACTCCCTCTCCTGCCCACTTACTTACGCCCCCTCAAATAAATAAAATCTTAAAAAAATAAAATAAAAAAAAGAATTCAATCACTTCTGCTGAGTAAATGGGACCCATCAGTCCCTTTTTTTCAATTACAGACGCTCCCAGCCCACCCTTCTCCTCTAAACACCACTCCTTGGACAGTGGTGGCTCTGGCAGCTTGCCAGGCTTTCATATGCACCGGGTGCTTGGGCATTGTGTTAGGATCCAAGTTCTGGTTTATCGGGGCCAGGTGGCGCAGAGGCTAATTAAGTCCTAACCTCTGACGGGAGACCCAGGCAGCGGTAAGCCTCCCTAGGGGACCCCCATGCGTGGCTGAGGTTGCACACACAGTGCTGGAAGATTCGGAAAGGCTGCCAGCTTAGTGTAACTGCTGGCTTTGTTGAGTGTGTCCCTGCACCCATAACACCGGCACACTAATAGCACCTCGGAGTTGTGCTGAAGACCAGTTAACGCAGATAAAGCACAGGGTAGGTTCTCTAAAACACTGGCCGTGGCTATTATTTTACTACTGCTACCAATTAGATTGTTATTCAGGTAGGCTGATGCAACTAGGAGGAGGCCAAATTTGTAAGGAAACAGAGTCCCTGGGTAAACTCGAAGTTAAAAGAAGTTAAGGAAATATGAGCTGGGGAGGAGTCTCGAGAGGGTGGCTAAGAGCAAATTGGGAGGAGGTGACCAGGGTCCTGTGCATAGCCCACAACCAGGGCAGTAACAGTCGTAATTACAGCTGCCATTTTCTTGGGCCTTCACATTTCAGACACTGTCCTAACTACTGGGAGTTCTGCAGCCAGAACCCAGGGTTTTCCGTTATTCAGAGTCAACTGCCTCAAGGTCCCAGGCATAAGCCAGCCTGTGATCTTGACAGGGGTGGGCAGAGCAACCCAATAAGTGGTGGGGACCAGACAAAACCGCATCAAGGGTAAACCATGGCAGACCAAGGCCTGTCTCAGGAGAGACTGTGTCTAGAATCCAGTGGAGCACTAATGTCACGCCCCCACTCCCTGATCAAGCCCCTCTAAAGGGCTGACTGCGATGAGGCAGGAGTCTCAGGAGCCAGGCAGGAGGAGGCAACAACTAGAGGAGCTTCTCACCTCCCGCGTCGGCAGTGACACAGCCGGGGAGCGTGGGGACTAGGCTAGTCTATGTGTTGAACCATGGGAACCATGAGCTCTTACTCCAGTTCTTTCTGTTCCCGCTTCCTCTCAGAATTGCCTTAAGAGCTTCTTTCCATGCACCTCCTGGGTGCCTTTCCTCCCCAGCTGTCTTCCAGGGAGTGGGGAAGAAGAGCTTCAGTTGAAGGGCCTGGCCACTTCACAGAGGTGCTTCATGTCACAGTTCTGTGTGCTACCCGTCCACACAGAAGAGTGGAAGGGACATTCTGTGAAGGAGCAGCTCACATGACTGAAACAGCTGAAGTGTCCCCATTAAGGGAGACAAGAGGGCAGGGTTTCCAATAAGCCAGGCTGGAAGTCTGAAGATTGTTCTAAAGCACTCAAATATGTGTGCTCCTCTGAATCTACATTTAAATACTGTTTCATTCATTTTCAAAGGGCTGTGACCACCCCAAGAGGACCTTCCCCAGTACAGCCCCCAGGACAAGGGCTCCCATGTTACGGATGCAGATACTGAACAAAGCCTGGAAAGCATTAAACTCCATATTCAGCATCTCACACAGGTAGTCTCTTTTTTCCTAAGAGCAGCACCACTGAGAGCTGAACATGACCATCTTCACTGACAAATAGGCAAAGGGAAACATAAAGGAGCTGAGTGACTGTCCAAGAGCAGAGCTCTAGTCAGAGAAGAAGGCAGAGTCCAATCCAAGTCTGTGTGGCCCTCAGCCCAAATTTTCATGATTATCCTACCATCTTTCCTTTAAAAAACAAACAAACAAAAACCTCTATGTTGAAATGTTTCTTCTGGATTCCATGAGTTTCTTCAACTTCACAGCCCCCATTTTATAAATTAGGAGCCAGAGGCCCAGAATGATTAAGTGCCTCACTGGGATATGAAGTGAATAGGATAAGAAACAAGGACCCAAATTCAAAAGGCCCTGTGTTTCAGGCCATGGCTTTGGGGCATCAGCCAAAGTGATTCCTTGCAAAATGTAACTACTGGAAGCCAGGGGACAAAGCAACGTCAAAGAGTGACATGGGGATTCCCCATGAGCTCACTTATATGAGAAGAACCCCAGCTAGGAGGCCAGTTCAGCAGAACCGCCTCCCCACCATCATTTGCACATGAATACATAAGACAAGGAAAGCTAAAGATGGGGAGGGAGAAGTTACTCATCATTAATAACTTTATTCCCTCAGTCTTCCTAGTTCTGTGAAGAAAAACACAGCCCCCTGCCTTGCTCTGCAAGTGACATTTCCTTTAGAGAACAATGACTCGCAGGATATTGTGTGCACCACATTACTCGAGGAAAGCAGAATTATAAAATGTCAAATCCTTTTTTCAAATTCCTATTTAGAGAGCAGAAAAACATACTATTATTTTGTCAAAATCAGTTACCATGGCAGCCTGAGCCCCTTGGCTCTGTATGGCCTTGAGTTCATAAAGGCAAACGCACGCTCATTTCATAGGGATGTTTGGTATTTTATTACCTCCCAACTCAGAATTGAAACAAAGTTTAAGTGTGAAGGATTCTCACCTGTGAAAGCATTTGTGGCCTGAAAATCAGCTTCCTGCATACTGCTCCCCAGACAAGCCTGTGTTCCAACTCTTAAGCTATCCTTGCAAGAGGAAACTGCCTGGGCGAGGCCTCAGGTCACTTCCATCTTGGCTTGTCGGAGTCCATCGCTCTGCCCCGTCCGGCTTTTGGTAGCATCTGATGCCCACCTGCCCTGCTCCCAGACCCTGAGAGCGGGCAGTACCTAGGACAGCACCCAGTCCAGCAACGTGCACACTTGGGGCACACAGTCACGTCAGCCGTCCAGCCAGAGTGAAGGCCATGGTGAGCCCAGGAGCAGAGGAAGCTGTCCCGCTGAGACCTGCTTTCCCACCTTACAGTGAGGCCCTCCTCAGCCACTTGGCAGCCAGCATCCTCCACGGGTCTCAGCCGCTCTAAGGGAGCTCAGTATGGTCTGATCTGCTGCTCTCTGTGCTTCGCCTCTCCCCTTGCTGAAATTAAAAAGAAAGAGATCACTTTCCTGATGACTTGCAGGAGTATTCAATTTAGTAGACCCATAAAGATAAAAAAAAAAAAAAAAAAAAGAGAGAGAGAGAAAAAAAACGCCACCCAGAGTAGTGATCATGGCCATGCTATGGCACTGGGGGAGCTCTTGGTAGGAAGCAGGTACAACATCATTTTCTGAGTGTCTGTGAAGGTGGCAGGGAACAGAGGTAGCTTTTACTTGCACTCCAGAAAAAAGACAGCAGAAGACAGCATTCTCTGCTCTAAGCCTCGCTAAAAATGGCTATAAAGGTGACATAACATTCAAATGTCATTTCCCCAGTCACATAGTTCATAGATACCCTGAAGAAGAAACCCATTTCCCAAGCTTGTTCCTGAGGTGCTCTCCCTGTTTGTGCTCTCTGTCTCTCTGTCAAATAATTTAAAAAACAAAACAAACAAAAAAAAACTTTAAAAAAGGACTCTCAAGGGGGAAGACAAAGGCCTGCATCAATATTTTAAAGAGTAAAAAGGAAAAGCAAATTTAATCTGAAAATTTACATTACATATTACATAACAATAACAGCACTTTACAAAATACTTTCCAGATATTTCAGTGTGGTTATATTATATAAGAAGCAACACTAATAACATGAATGTTAGAAGCCCAAAGGATGAGACATTTTAAAAGAGAACCTAAATAGGAATCTCCAATATTAAAGAAAACTTTTTTTCCATTATCATCGCTTCACTCTAATCAATTTACATCACTCTTTCGAATATATAACCTTCATTCCTATTCTTCACCATCAAACTAGAGGAAAAAAAATAATTTAAGAAAACAACACCTAACAGAAAAGAATACTCCATTAAGGCTTCTTATTGTAAATATAAAGTAATAAAGGAAAATATCACTAATACAGACTAACTATAAGGAAGACCTTATGTATTAATGAAGCACTATAATTATATTAAGAAATTCAATTGTATGGCCCTCATGTACCTGTAGTAGCACAGTTAATAAGGTGTAGCATACCATGAGTACATAAACTTAATGAATAGGTAAAAAAACTTATTTTAATTAAAAAAATCATTTATGCAAATAATGGTTTTGAAGTGCTTGAAAATGCAACAAAACATTTTTTCTCTGAATTGAAACATTCCACATAAAATGACCAACACACACACTATCAGCCTCCTAAAGTCCTACACTAACTTCTAAAGTAAACCTAATCACATGTATGATACCTTTCAATTTTAGGAAATGAAATTACCATAAAAAAAACAAAACCCACTTGCTCTACAACACCTTGATTTTCTTTGCCCTTTGCTATGGTGCTTTCAATGCACAGAAATGCTAGACTTTATTTGTTCTCTGTTTCTAAACTCAGAGACGATCTGAAGTGTGAGAAGGTGTGTGTTGTTGCTTTACTCTGGCTCTCTGTTTATTTTATTTTGTTTCATTGAAAAAAGTACGGTTACCTCACTTTGTATTTTTTAAGATCTTATTTATTTATTTGTCCAAGAAGAAAGAGAGAGCACGAGCAAGGGGAATGGCACACAGAAGAAGAAGCAGGCTCCCTGCTGATCAAGGAGCCTAATGCTGAACTTGATCCCAGGATTCTGGGATCATGACATGAGCTGAAGGCAGGCATTTAACCAACTGAGCCACCCACTTAGTACTGCTACATTACTTAAAAAAAAAAAAATCAAGCTATTCTATATCACATTTTAAATGGCTATGGGAAACACTAAGGCAAATGTGGACAGAAATAGAACAAACACATTTTTTTTTCTTTTCTTTCTTTTACCATATTTATCACACTCACCAATTCTTAACTTTAGTTCTTCGAAAAGAGAAGTATGGTGACAAGTACATAACAGCTCACTGGGGAGGTCCCAGGCATAGTATTGGCATAGATTTTTACGGCATGATGTGTGTAGTTCCCAATAAAGACCAGACAGACACAATTGTATTATCTTACTAATGAATGACTTTTGTATTCCGCAAACACTCAGGCTCCAATATATGCAATTTTTAAATAAAAATTTAACTGTAACTGCCATAAAATGTGTTCTTAATAGCCGCTAACAACACAGATACCCTTTCTACAAATATACAAGAAAGAGGGGAGGGTACCCAGGACCTGGAGACTATTCTGTTCAGTAGGGGACATCCAAGACAGGGCCAGGAACCCAGCGACACTCAGTAGGAGTCAGATGACCCAACAGGGTAGGACACAGAGGTGGATGATTAGGACCCAGAAGTAGCAAAGGAAAAGCACATCTGCTTCTACAGCTTGATAACCACCCAAGAATCAGCAAGAAGGCAGAGAACAGAACAAACGGTACCTCATCCACTTTTCCCATCTATCCCTCTCCTAGGGCTCTTGCTCATGATTCTACTCACCTTCCAATCTCAGCTCAAATGACCCTCATCAGAGAGGCTCCCTTGATCGTCCCCCAGACTAACTTCAGAGTCTGGCTACCCAGCTTCCCGGCACTTGCCATGGTCACAGCTGCATGCAGGGCTCCTGATCTCTTAGCCCCCATCTCTTCTGCTGGACTGTAAGTGCCATGGGGACAAGGACAGTGACTGGCTGACCGTCCATTACCCCTCAGCAGCCAGGACATGCCTGATGCCTGTGTCTGCCGAATGAACGGAAGAGTGGCTGAAGGCCATCCGTGTTCAGAGGGGTATACACAGAGGTGCTCAGCAAACACTTCCAAGACAAACCCATCCCAAGCAGTGAACTGAAGGCAGCATTTCCTGGCTGAGAGGCTACTCTCCAGTGCTGGCTCTGAACCTGTGAACTGGGAGGGCTCTTCCTACCACCACTGGTCAAGGTGAGACTGTGATTACCAGCACTAATTCCTAATGCACTCACACTTCACAGAACAGCCTATCCAGTAGAGGCCCTTAAAGGACAATGCTTTATTTTATTTTATTTTATTTAGATTTTATTTACTTCAGAGAGAGAGAGTGAGAGAGAGAGCATGAGAGGGCAGAGGGTCAGGGAAAGAAGCAGACTCCCTGCTAAGCAGGGAGCCCAATGTGGGACTCCATCCTGGGACGCCAGGATCATGACCTGAGCTGAAGGCAGTCGCTTAACCAACTGAGCCACCCAGGCACCCAGGACACTGCTTTAAATCCTCTCAAACCACAGAGAGAAAACTCTGACCCCAGAGAGGTTAGATAACTCCACGCCAAAAACTACGGTGCAGTAGAGTCAGGACTAACGCCTGTGTCTCCTGCCCCTTCCATCAACTGTTATTCCCAGGTTACCTCTGCACATCAGGTAAACCTCCATGGTAAACCCAAATTCCCTAAACTGAAATGTCTTAAACTGAACAATATTCAAATCAGGGAAATGAAGGAGGAGAACATGAAGAAAGAGTAAAGAAAGAGAGCCTTCACAGAATAATCCTGAGCCACACGTTCAAGAGCCCTAACTATAGCAAGCAGGCTAACATCCTTCTGTCTTCTACACACACACACACACACACACACACACGTTCTATTTATCCTAGGAAGATGGGTAGGCCTAACCAAAAAATAAATTAATTCAATACTGCACTTGAAAAATGTCATTAAGTCCCTCCCATAACAGAGCAACAGTTACTAAGGAAATAGAGCACACCAAACGGAAAAACAGCCCCACAGAAAGGGACCCTTTTTAAAGAGCGAACACCCACAAAACCTAACCAAGTAAGTTGTAGAATATGTTTGCTTTACCACTTATTCATAAAAACTTCCACGAAATGCAGTCTCCGAGGAATCACTGGGGAATGAAAACTGCATTCCTCAGATCACAGCTTTCACAAAATTACACTGCAGAAATAGACATACGAATTCAGGAAACATTAGGGTCACACACTAGACACAAAGGCCAAAACCCAGAAGCAAAGTGAAACCACAACCTTTTTTAAAAAAAATCTAGGAACATTCAAAAAATGTGTAGTACATATGGAATAAACACTGCAGTTTCATTTTTTATTTCCTCTCACTGTGGACAGACTGCTTCACTGGCTGAGTGTCGGTTACCTAGGTGATGGCTAGACTGAGCAGCCTAACGGGCTCCAGGCCGAGGGACTCAGGGAGTTGAGGCCCCATGCCTGTGTCTGATGATCTGTCACTGCTCCACCCACCAAAGAGGTCCTAGGGAAAAAGGAATACTGAGAGATGAAGAGACAGCTTTAACCTTGACACCCTCCCCTCCCAAAATCAAAACATAAAAATTAACACATTAAGAATTTGTACTGCACTCCTTACCGAAAAAAATCTCCTCTACTGGCTGGCTCACTTATGTGAAAGTGATAATGGACTTCCAGCAAGAGAGAAGAAACCTGAGGATCTACTTCCGACCAGAGTTTGAATCAGGTGTCACCCTGGGAGAGAGGTGTCACACTTTCCCGCGTGAGCTCCTCTACCTCGTGAACAGAGAGTCTGGACCTCAGCAAGTGTCCATGAGTCTCAACATTTCCTAACAGCCAAAAAGTATGTCCTTGGACAAACCATGGCCCCTCCCCTCAAGACAGCCATGAGGCAGAGAGCACCAGACTGGGCATCCTTCCCCTGGTTCTGGGCCCACATATAGGACTCAGTCAAGTCCCTTAGCCTGTCAGCCTCCCACTTTCTCATTTGTAAAGTAAGAACATGAAACCTGAGGTCCCTTCTGATCCCGATTATTCTCCTGTGGCCCTCTCTAGTCAAGGGAGACAGCACAATGTGTATGAAAAGAACATAAGGACCAAGCACAGAAAATGTGCACCTAAACCGAAGTCTAAGAACAAGTCACAGAAATAAGCTGCCTGGACCCAGGGGAGGCTGAACTCAGGTGATGTAGATCCTTCACGCTACTTTTCATTTCTTTTTTATTTTTAACTTTATTTTTTCAGTGTTCCAAGATTCATTGTTTCTGCACCACACCCAGGGCTCCATGCAATACGTGCCCCGCTTAATACCCACCTATGATTCAGGGGTATAAAACAATTTGAGGTTGTGTTA